GGCGTAGTATATGCTACTATGACATGATGTCAATTCACCAGTGTACAGTCAGCCACAGCGATGTGCAGCACGGATATCTTTTGTGATAAGTAGCCATCAGTATATACCGGAAAGATATAAAGGGGCCTCCTGTGCACTCCTGGCCCGCCTTGCCTTCTGTCATTTCTACGTCAGGTAGTTTCTTAAGAAAAACATTAACCATGCATTACTTTGAATATTTTATTATGTTAGCACTCGCCGGCATTATTGCTGGTGACCCTATTGCAAATGAGCGTGCTAACGAATGCCGTGTTTATACGGTAAAACCAGGCGATTACTGTGACAAGATTGCAGAGGAAGCCAAAATCTCGGTGTTTGGGCTGAAGTTGTTCAATATTGGCCTGGACTGCAACATGCTGATGGTTGACCAGCGGCTTTGTGTTACTCCCGGAATGCTTCCCTCAAGGAAGCCTCACAAGAACAAAGATGGGTCCTGCTATGCTCACAACGTAACTTCTGGTGATACTTGCTACTCCATCGGCAAGCCGCTTGATCTGTCACCATCCGATATTGAAGGATTTAACAATAACACCTGGAAGTGGACCGGATGCAATGGGCTCCAGCTTGAGATGGGCATTTGCCTTTCATCCGGCACACCGCCGCTGCCCAAAGTCGACCCCAAAGCAGAGTGCGGTCTCACATCAAAGGGAAACATGACATGCCCACTGAAACTCTGCTGCTCAGAGTATGGATATTGTGGATTCGACGAGGTGTTTTGCAAAAAGCCAACTGGTGCTATAGGCACCGGATGTCAGAGTAACTGCGACATGAGCTGGCCAAAGGATAAAAAGATTTGCTCAGGTGCATTGTCAAAAAGAATCGGTTACTACGAATCCTGGGCCGTCAACCGCACCTGCCACAAGTACAAATTCGACAAAATTGACCCTCGCCAGTTCACACACATACACTATGCATTTGGAAATGTCAGCAGCGACTTTCTACCTACACTCGATGATGACCAGGCAGTGCAGCTCCAGGAGATGCACCAGATGAAACAAATCAACCCGGATCTAAAAATAATTCTGTCATGTAAGTAGCTCGAGAGGTATCTGCTATTCGCATTGCCATTCACCGCTGTAGCTAACCCTCTACCTGCATGTCTAGTTGGTGGGTGGGCATTCAATGACCCAGGTCCGACAGAGCACCGCTTTTCTGATTTAATATCCAAATCAGACCGCCGCACAAAATTCAACGATGCCATCTCGCAGTGGATCGAGCAGGGTCTCATTGACGGCGTTGACATCGACTTTGAGTACCCGACATCTGGTGAACACGGTGGCCGCAAGCCCGATTACGACAACTATCTCACATGGATTAAAGAGCTACGAGAAAAGATTGGAAAGGCATCGCTGTCCATTGCTGCTCCAGCCAGTCCTTGGTATTTGCGCGGGTTTAGAATTGAGGAAATGACAGAGTACCTTGACTATATCATATTCATGTCATATGACCTACATGGCACATGGGATGCAAACATCACGTCCCTTGGCCCTTATCTCAACCCACACACTAACATGACCGAAATCAGAGACGCGCTCAAAATCATTGAGCGGGCTGGAGTATCGTCAAACAAGATTATGATGGGTCTTGGCTTCTATGGAAGGTAAGTTAACGAGAACCATGGACACAGCAGGGCACAGAAGAAGAAACGTCACAAAATCATTGTCATACCATTAGATCGTTTGCAATGAGAGACCCGGCGTGTAATAATCCCGGATGCATGTTTTCCACTGGAGGCACACCTGGCGAATGCACAGAGACCAGCGGCTATATCTCATACGGAGAGATAAAAGATATGCTTGACAACAGGCAGGCCTACCATGTCCGATATGATGAGCAGGCACTTGTCAATATAATGCTCTATGGCTACAACGACTACGTCTCGTATGACAGCGAAGTATCGTTAAAGGCAAAGCTCAAAGAAGCGAAGGATCTGTGTCTCGGTGGAGTCAGCATCTGGGCTATCGATCTTGACGACCGCTACGGGTCGCTCATTTCCGCAGTTTCTGGGCTTCCTTACCAGCCGCTGGATGGGTCTGATGGCGTCGATACATTCGGCGAGGAAGATGAGGATGACGAGGACGTGTTTTTCGACTTTTTCGAAATTCAGGATGTAGGAGATATCAGCGACGATGACTTTTTGAAGCGAATCAAAGGCAGCATGAGTCTCCGCGAGAAAAAGTACATGCGGGATGATTTCTGGACAACGTCTTTGATGAGGTGAACAGTGTTGTAGAAGAGGTGGGTGGACTGGCGCCAGAACGCATTTACCAACTCTATCTGCTTGCTGGAACACACATGATGCAGCAGCTGATTGACACGGCAAAGGAGGATCTGAAGGACCAGGATATGAAGGGAAAGTGGCAAAAGAAGTATCAGAAATATATGCGTGGGAGGGTTGATGAACAGGTAAGCTAGTGTTTCCTCAGCATGTAAAACTAATGCTGTGTCGCTAACCAAAACATCTCATAGCTTGCCGATGTGTGCTACGAGCACGGCGAATGGTTTACGTGCAAAGAGTAAGTACACAGAGAGCAATTTCATAACGAAGCACGGCAAATATTCTGACGATTTTGTTTACTTTAGCATGTATCAACACAAGCCAAAGAAATGCCCCAAGGAGGCAGATTGGTGGAACGAAGCCGAGTTCATACTGAATGGTGACGACAACTCGGTCCATGCCTTCGACAAGTATATCAACGAAACGCTTGGTCTTTCTCACGACATGCTCGTCATGGGAACAAAGTTCACCGACGACCGCGGCTTCTACTGTCCACCACCAATTATGCGCGACACTCCAAATAGCACGTCACCTGCCGCAGACCTATCGGTGGTCGGCAGCACTCGTGATATAGCCGGATGTCTCTCGGCGGTCAACAAGATTCCAGGTCTGAAGGACGACTATCCTCCAAAGACCGGCGAGCTCCTGACAGCATTCATCGACAGTGCATCGGCATCACTGGACGACATGCGGTTTAGGCACGAACTGCAGACCACAGACATAGACACGCTGTACCAGGGTGTTGTGCAGACCATTGCCAGAACACAGTCTGGCAATGATACATTGGACCAGTTCTACCAGTATCGAGAGTGGGTAGAGGAGAAGAAAAAGGAAGCGAAATTCATTGCGCTATTCTTCATAGAACTGGTCGTTGGTGCGGTGGTCGGGGGATCATTGACATTGCTGTCGGACTGGTTGGCGAGGCCATCACCATGGGGCTCGAGGCTATTGGTGCTGCAAGGGCAGTCGCAAGCATTGAGACACAAATGGCCCGGGCTATGAATACATTGGCGGAGCTGCCTGGCATCCGCAACGCAATCCGGCTGGTTGACGAGGGCGCGCAGGCATCAAAGCTGGTGTTCAGGCGTGCGTGGGGGTCGTTCCCAAAGCCCGTGCAGGGCATTGTTTAGACGGTTGGTGCCAAAGCTGGAAAAGGCGAAGAAGCTGATCAAGGAGTCTGGATGCGATGCAGCAAGTAAGTTGAACAAGGAGTATAGTTGTTAGCTACATGCACTGACTGTATTTTTGCAAGCTGTAGGCGAGATTATCCAGTTTGAAATACCGGACCTGGCTGGCACAGCGGCACGGGTTAGTCTGCTGGCAACAAACTCGACACTGGGGATTACAGGGTTTGATGAATCCGACAAGTACGAGGCACCCGCAGGGGGTAATCAGAAAGTCTTCACCCACCAGAGACAAGGACTGGTGCATATTTGACATGACTAGCACGCACGAATTGCGCGGATACACGGACAAGGACGACTACCGCTACGTAAGTATATATGCATGCCGCCTAAATTCCAGAAATACCAAGTATTGCTAATTATGGCTACATAGTGTTTCTGCCAAGTGCCCTCCACGACACAAACCCGCAAAAAACAACAAGTCGCTGACCTGCTCCGATGGTCGGGTTGTGCAAACTGGATTCCTGAAGTCCAAGCCGCCGCTGGCACTCAATGGATTCGAAAAAGCTGGATCACAAGCCCAAACTGTGACCACATTTACGAGCTCAACGATTTTATGCGGTTCACCGGTGTCCGGGACAAAAACAAGCGCGACAAAATGTGCAAGCGAATCGAGAAAGTTGACCCCGAGTTCAACAGCCGCGTGCGCAAATACATCAATGGACCGAAAAACCTGCAGGTCATCGGATCCAAAGTCAACGGCCTCAAGATGCAAATGTTCATGTCCAAGTATCCGGGTTCGTCGCTGCAAGACAAGGACAAGTTTGATGCCGTCAAATCGTATATGGATAAGAAGAAGTCGACCCTGGATACAGTGAGGACAGACTTGGCCAAAGATGTTTTGGCGACTTGGAGGCTCTGGAGAAGAAAGAGATCACGGGCGGCGAAACACTGCATTTCCAGGGCATAAAGAGCAAGTTTGAGACGCACTTTGATAACGGCGTAACCAGACGTGGGCGAATGGATTGATATGGCTAACAAAGATCATGGATGAGAAGGACCCGAAGAAGCGGCCGTCACTCGAGAACCAGATGCGTACCAAAGGTTGAGACGGGAACGTAAGGCAATCAGTAGCTTTTCGGCCGACACGCTGCGTGATGTGAAGTCTGACCCTGTGGGCCACATCTGCAAGAAGAGGCGCACGTAGAATCTCTACTAGTTAAACATGCAAATGTGAGGTTGTGAATCACGTCTCAATCTGTTCGCCATTGGCTGTGGCGAGCCTCTTGTACTGGTACGGGTCTGGCTGCTAAGAAACGCGCAATTCGCTCTAGTTTTCTTTATTGCCCTCTTGACAGCTGGCCGTGTGGCTATAAAAGGCTACTGGTGACAGTCTCGGGTGAAGTTGACAAAGATTGAAAAGACTTGTTCTAAATCATATCTGCATCAACAGGAAGCACCGAAGAGACCGGTAATTATAATATTGGTGTGAAAAATGAGGCGCTCATATCCAGCGACTAATATCACCAAGCAGCTCATGTTTATATATGCATATATACGCAACTTTCATGAATGAGCCGACACCGTCGTTGTTGGGCCGGTACGGAAATATTAGCCATATGCCAGCGAAGCTGTTTGTCATATGCATCCTTCGGATTTATTGTTGAGGGATGACAGCGTTAGGATACTGGTAGATTTCGGGTGATACAAAGCTAGTGACGGTAAAGAAGCTCCCAAGACCTACAACTATACTGACGTGTGCTAAGCTATATCGTGCAGCCGCTATACCCTTGCATACGCACTATGGCGTGGATAGAGGAATTAGGATTAGTTATACACAGAAATAGACAGCGTGCTGAGAGCAGCGGCAATAGCATAAAGTTTCAAGCACATCAGCTGTTTCCACCCGCGTTGATCGCAGGGAGCAAATTCGGATAACAGATTAATATATGGCTGAACTGAATGTATTGCTCCCTCGTGGGGGCAGTTGACAACAGCAGCTCCAAAACTATCCAGATAAGCCTTTAGCTCAGACAGCCTGGTGCGAGGGCTGCGGCCCTGGATTTGTGGCAACACAGAAAGACGAACCATATACGGTGTTCTAGAAACCAGCCTACCAGTCATCAGCCGTGCCAACACACCGGCGGTAAATGCGCAAACCCCTTCTCTCTTTCCACTCTTGTTTTCGACTATTTCCAACATTGGGCTCAGCTGGTACGCCTACCCACTAGGTGGTTAGCGACATACTAGTTGCACTCTACTGCTGGGCACTAATGATGCTGTCATTTGCTTGCTTTGAATAACCTCGCCCATGTGCGGCAATGGTAAAAAGATATCTATTTAAAAAAGGCGCTCATTGGTCTGCAACCCCGTTCTGTTGCGAAGCCGATAGCTCGGCTGGTGGCATATCGTTAGCCAGTATTTTGTTAACGTTGCTTACATGTGGTGGCTCGTGAATTTGGTTATCGGCCGGATATTTTGGAGTTCCGTCGTCTGCAGTAGTCGGTGCAGTAGCAAGTGGAGGCGGCTCATTCCCCGTGTCTGACGTAGATTCCGGAACCGGAGCCTCTTGACATATTACTGCCCTCAGCTGTTTCAGCTGCTTCCACCGTTTCGGTTGTTACCGCGGCAGCACTATCAATGGCACCGACAATGGCCGTGCTGGCTGATGATCCGTTGGCCACAGGGGGTGGCGATGCTGCTCTTCCCTGTTGCTCCTGCTGCTGCGCCTCAGCATCCTTTCCGTTGCTATGGGTCTGGTTGTCATCACCCGCTGTAGGCTTGGAGTCCTCTACCACGCTCTTTGCTGACAGGTCTACACCATCGATAGATGGGGCAGCTGTGGATGTGTTGGCGTCTAGAGGCGGTGCCTCAACGTCAGCCTCAGTATCACCGTGGGTAGATGCCTGGTCGGCAATATCTCCAGCTGCGGCGGAGGGCACAGCGGTGGACGTCGCCGACGCGGCCGACGACACGGCGTTGTTGGTCGAGCCACCAATATACGACGACATTCCTTCTCGTACCTCAGTTTCTCACGATCGTAGATCTCAAAGTACGGCTTCCGCTCATCCTCGGACATGTTCTTCCATCTGAGGCTCATCACCCGGGTCAGCTCGCCCGAGCTCATCTCGACGCTCGAGTTCTTGACGCCGGGCCGCTCAGCCTGGCAGAACAAAACAAAGGCATTGGCCGGGCGCTTCGGGGCATTCGGATCCTTATTTGAGCCCGACTTGCGGTGTGTTGTCGAGGGATCAACCGACGACGAGTGTGAGGGAGTCTGCTGCTGCGGGTACCGACACCGCTTGCGGGGTTTTGACGCCGGCGCGACCGTCCGGCGGCAGCAGTACGTGGTTGCGGCTCGGGGGCATCGTTGTCGGAGATGTGGGCGCGAACAAACGAGTCCTTCAGGGGCACGTCCGAGTCAGAGGCCGAGTCGGTGTAGCGGCGAGTGCGATCAAGCCGCTCGAGCAGCAAACTACACAGCTCCAAAAAGAGATTTAGGGTTTAGTGGTTATGCAAAGGGAGGACGTCACCTACATAGGTGCAGGATTGGACGCACGCCACTTACTTTCTCTCGATCTTCATCCGGCGCAGCGCTTCTGTGAGCGATACAGCTTGACAGCAAGCATCTCGTTGTACTACAGGCAGGGTGTGGGAAGTATCAGGCACGAGAAAAAGCGTTAATAATGGCGATCCCCTCCAAACATGCGATTGTTCACGTATTCATTATCGGAAGAGAAAACCAACCTCTTCAAGCTCTTCGAGCTGCCGCTTCAAATCACGGCATCTGTATTTGTGGTGCTTCTCTACAAAAAAGGCGGTAAAATAGAATTGGTGAGTTTAGCATGCCAGGAAATCACATTTCATTCTCCGCGGGCCGCTGCGCCAAAATCCTTACCTTCGCTGCC